GAAGAACAATCTTTGACGAAACGAAAAATAGAACGAGAAAATTCACACCAGAAAACAGTAACACAGCAGAACACATAGATTTATGTGGTTCAGCAAATTACCTATGTCCACGAATTTGTAGAGGATTAGACTACTTGAGAAATTTACACCAGTCGATCGTCTCGACTTACAAGAGAAATTTCTCACTTCGTTGCTCTCTCTTCTTCTCTCTTTTTCTTCTCTCTCTTCACTGAGATACACCGAAGAAGATAAACTTACAAGAGAAATAAACTCAATTTCTCTTTTGCCGCAAGCCACCAAGAAGAAATCAAGAGAGAACAATCTTCTTTCTTTTTCTTTCTGCTGCAAGAAACTACTTCTTGCACTTCTCTTCCTCTATCCCAAGAAAGTCCTTCCACTGTCCCGTGGAAGTCCGAAGAAGAACACAAAAATGTTACTTCACAAATTGAAGAAGAATCGTACGATACCTTTTATCACAAACAGGAAGGGGAACTGTCTCGACATATGCGACTCTTCGCGAAGCAAGGAATTGTTCATTGGAAACAACAACAGTTCACGACCTGTCGCGATCGAGCGGGAGGCGGGAGTTGGCACCATTTCACGATCGGGAGCGGGATCCTGTAGCGGGATCGAGAGAAATCAGAGTGGGAGCAGAAAATTATCGGGCTCCAGCGCTAGCACGGGGCTCATATAATAACCTAAGGCCATTCCTTTATTTTATATATATATATATATATATATATTCAACAAGGCTGAGCGAGTAAAATTAATCACCAATTTGATTCCTTCTATTCTCTCAAGACGTACAACTTACATCAACTTTCTGATTGCCACAAAGCAAATAGTTATGTAACTTCTTATAACGATCTCAACAATCAAGACATGAATTAAGCCACATCTCCGCTGTCTTTTCCTTACATTTCAAGCAGTTCAAATTCTGTAATTTCTTTTAAAGTTTGTGCGCGGGATGTGGCGGCGCCTAATACGAAACAGCTACAACGACGGGTCCAACAAGTCGTAAATTATCCGAATCATATAAAAAGGGCAGCTTATGTTGTTAGCTCGCCGAACGCTCTCCGCTCTCGCCTCGGTGTCGTCCATCCGTGGCTTCCTTCTGCTTTCTCCTCACGAAAAAACAGGAAAATAAAACGCGAAAGTTCCTCGTCATAACTTGAAACCACCGAATCCTAATTTTTAAGCATCAAACAAACCGCGTAAGCACTGAAGGAGGTTAAAAAAACACAATCTAAGCATTCCTTCAACGCATTATCGTGTGGCAGTAAATGCTACTATCTAATATGTGCTAATGTTCAAATTAAAGCAACGGATAGTTTATGTAAATTTTTTTATCTGAACGTGTGACATTTCCTTTTCCATCCAGATACAGCACAGCCCGGATGACAAATCACCGACGATCACGTCGTCCTAAATATCATTGGCAAGTAACGTGGCCACCTATAGTTGGCTTTCTAGACACGCGGACATTCAGACAAAACATTTTTTCCTTTAAATTTGGCTGAGAGAGGTATTTGGCTCCATGTTTGATCTAGGTTAAATAGAATATATCAAATCCAATAAATTCTAATTTATCAACTCAATTGTACTCGTAGATGATGCGCTTGTAGACGACATAGAAATGCACGGAGAAGAAAAGGAGTGCGAGAAAACTGGATTTAATTTTTTATTTTTGTTATGTAGTTGTATTTAAGTTAAATTCATGACTAAATTCATTATAGATGCTACCAAAAATCATATTATGGTATCAAAAAGTCATTTATCAACTATTTTCAAAATAAGTAGAGCTACTACTATTTTTATCATCTACTATTTTGCTTTTTAGTTTTAAAATGAACTTTCTGCGTTTAAAATTAATTTTTGCCTCTTTCATATAGATCAATTCTTATCTATCTCTAACTCATATATATATAAACTGTAAAAATATTTTCTATATATTATCTTATGTGATGAAGTCTTGTTCTAGAGTCCAGTCAATGAAAATATGAGAAAATTTTTATTTTCTGTTAAATATCTCATGTATAATAACAAGTATTGAATTTTCTATCAATTTCTTTTGCGGTCTCACTCACCAAACAAATTTAAGAAATATTTTCATATTCATCTATAGCTGCACCAAATTAACCAAAAAGACCGGCAGGCCGGCATCACATAAGCAGACAAATTAGGTCACAAAACGTACAAATGTCTTCACCTGCTCCGCTCCGCACCTCCCCTCCCCTTATATATTCACCTCAACACTCACAGGCCGGCAACACCGCCACCGCTCTAAACATGTCCGAGCAGCAGAAGATCCATCCCGCCGACCTTTCAGCAAATTACC